TATTTATTTGGCAGTAGTTGTTTTGGACGGATGTCGGACGGAGAACGAGTAGATCCCCTGTTTTGGACAGGCGTGTCGCTTACCCCCAGGTGCACGACTTGTTCATTATCTCACCTCATAAAAAAACTAATAATAACTACAATAATAACGTAACACACTCATGGGGCTATGTGCTGTCATCTGGCGGTAAATAAATGAACGACAACGAATTCCGCATGTTTACTTAGTTTTCCAAAAAAGAAGCGACCATATAGCAGGGGTAAAATAATAAGTGGGTACTATGGGTCACCTCTTTTTCGTCAAAATAATCTTTATACATTGTAATTTGTAATAAGTATTCGCCGTTTCTGCCCACGGTTTTGAGCAGAAATAATAATATTAACGCACACACGTACAAGAACTAACAAATTCTGACCTGTTAATATAATTTAGACTTTATCCTGTTGTGCATATCGTTGAAAGATCAATATCTAATATTGCAAGTTACGAAGTTTTGATCAATGTGCTGTCATCTAGCGGTAAATAAATGAACGATAACGAATTCGGGATGTTTTCTTAGTTCTCCAAAAAAGAAGCGACCATAAAGCAGGGATATAATAATGATAACGCACACACTCAACACTAGGGAAACCCGGTGTCGCGGGTGCCATGGACACACACATAGACAACCACACATTACACCCAAAGTCACGAGAGAAATAAATGTAGGCCATACACATATTTCTCCCGGTCCGGGAATCGAACTCAGGACCTCTGCGTGGCAGTCCTGTGTGGTAACTGTTCGGCCACGGGCCTCCGTAAACTGATGAAATGGTGGAATGCATCATTTTGATACCCTAGTATGGAAGTAATTTTTATTAACGATCGGTAAAATTCCAGGTGGTGGCTTCGCACTGGCAGAAGGCAGCAAAGCGACCGGTCTGTCGTCTATGATCGGGGCTTCCTTGAATGGTTTGCAGGGCATGCCCAACTGGGTGGTACTCCTCGCTGTTGTCCTGGTAACGCAGTTCATCACCGAGTTCACTTCCAACGTGGCCATTGCTAACCTTATACTGCCAGTTTTGGCTAATATGGTAAGTTTAATTTATAAACAAACAAACGTTAAACGATATTTGAATTTAGTAACGTTTTAATATAGTTCAATTTGATTATTACGTCACTTCATTATGTGACAACATGAGTAAACACATTATGTCTGTCTTTTTTTAAGACAGACTAAAATGACATTTGCAAGGTTGCCAGTTTTCATAAAGAATGTAAAATTTTGTCTAAAATGACCAAATCGTGAATATTACGATGTTCTAATGACTACTAATTGCGTTATTGCCTTCTTCATTATTATTTTGACAGTTGGTCTACTGGCATTGCAATAAATTTTTATTTATATATATTTTAACAAGAACAGGCGGATTTAATAATTCTAGTATTGAATTAAAATGAAAAACTTTAAAATATGTCTATCTTTGCCCTTTTAGACATATAGACATACTTCTAAATGCAATGTATATATGTATGAACTTACAAAAATTGACAATTCAAATGAACCTATGTACCGTGACCAACATGCAGTCGATAGTCGATAAAATATTTATCGACTACAATTGCTAGCTGCTTGTAAATTGACTCCACCTTCAAAAAAGACCGACTATAAAAACCTTAAAAGGGAATTGTGGCATTAACAAGCACATGCTAAATCTTGTGCAGAGAGAAAAAGAGAGTGCAGGTTCTGTCATGAGATGGATGAAACTCTTGTGCATTTCTTTACTCAGTGCTGCCCCTTAATGGACGTACAAAGCTTTTTTTTTATAATATCAAGTGACGGGATAAACAAGTCGTGCGCCTGATGGTAAGCTACACGCCTGTCCATGACAGTTGCAGTGCGACTGACAGCTTTAAATCGCAAAGATCCGAGGGGCACTGCCACTGCGCCCGTCACCCTGAGACATAAAGTTGGCAAGTCCCATATGCCTGTAATTTCACCAGCACCCTTACCCTTCTAAACCGGAACGCAGTATTGCTAACATTACTGCTTGGCGGCAGAAATAGACAGTGGCAGTACTTCCTTGGACGAACTCTTTCACAAGGAGCTCTACTGCTGCTAAAAAGGTCTATACTGAGATGGCACAGGCCACAACCAGAAGACAAAAACTGTCGAAGGATGGAAAATCCTTCAGTTCATTAATGCAGTTGGCCTTGGCTCCTCTAAACTATAATTAGTGGTGATCACAAAAGATGGTCGATGTGATGAGGAGCTGCATAGGCCCTGAATAAAACCATCCATCGAGTATACAACCAGAAATAGAGACGAAATGTCATTCAATTTGTTTGAAAAATATTCTGCCATATCATTACTGTGCAAACTGCGCTCCGATTGGCTAGCCGGAGTTCGAAACCATTGACGGGTGTCGTGAATGGGTGTCGTCAACTGATTCACTTCAAATCGACCAGTTAACTTGAGCTTTGCTATAATGGACGAACATTGCAAAATTACATATTTAGTATTTAATTACCGATGAAATGTCATTCCGTTTGTTTTGTGATTAGATATTTTGCGGTTTTTCCCACACATTGAGTATTTAACCAGAAATAGAGACGAAATAAGGACCATATATTCATGGTAACACATTATCGATACAGCTCTTATAAATATCAACTCTCGTTTGCACTGAAATATAGACAGGCTAACTACTGACCTGTGTACGTCTCCGTATATTCCAAAAAATATTCGGTATTTATTGTAATAAAGATAATGTCTCTAACAATGTAGTGCTGTTCTATTCGGTGGTGTGACAAAGAATCACATTTCATCGGTAATTAAATGTTAAATATGTAATTTTGCAATTTTCGTCCATTATGGCAAAGCTCTGGTTAACTTGAAATTTGAAGTGAAACAGTTGACGACACTCATTGACGACACCCGTCTATTGTTTCGAACTCGGGCTAGCCAATCGGAGCGCAGTTATCACGGTAATGATATGGCAAAATAGTCTTCAAACAAATTAAATGACATTTCGTCTCTATTTCTGGTTGTTACTATTACTATATCTCTCTTTTATTACTATATCATTACATATTACTATATCAACTGGTAATATAGTCGATGTTCCCACACCACCGAATAGAACACCACGGCATTGTTAGAGATATTATCTTTATTACAATAAATGCAGAATATTTTTTGGAATATACGGAGACGTACACACAGGTCAGTAGTTGGCCTGTCTATATTTCAGTGCAAACGAGAATTGATATTTATAAGAACTGTATCGCTAATGTGTTACCAGGAATATATGGCCCTTATTTCGTCTCTATTTCTGGTTATACACTCGATGAAACCATCCTAATAATAATAAAATTAAAATTTAATTTTTTAGGCCACGGGAGAGGCGAGAGTCTAAAATAGATGTCCGTATAATAATAACACACACATGAATGTTTTCAAGTTTTCAAAAGTTTGCAAGTCAGTACGATGTTTAAATGGACCAATCACATAGTTTCATTCATTATTGGAACTGTAGGAAAATTGAAATGGCCGAATGGCAAACTTGATTATTCGATCTGGCCAATCTCTTGGTTATAGTGGCAGTTCGGATTTTAAATGAACCAATCACACGGTATTGAATTATTTCTGATCTATTAACGATGAAATGTTATTTACTTTTTGCAGGCGCGTACGCTGAACATCGATCCTCGCTACCTGATGATCCCCGCGACGCTGGCTTGCTCTATGGCCTTCCACATGCCTGTGGGCACCCCGCCCAACGCCATCGTCGCCGGCGTCGCCCACATCCCCACTGCCAAGATGGTGCGTCATGAATTCACACCTAATTACCAATTGCATATTTGTAAACGCCGTTGCTTATAATTGAGAGGTCTATGGTCTGATTTTCATGTTTAAGTCAATACAACAACTAAATAGGTGATTTGTGACAAAGTTCACAGTATGAACTTAGGTGCGAATGTCATAGCGGAATCCAAAGCGGGTCAATGAAAATATTAATACAACAACTAAAATGGTAATGCATAGCAGAAAAAAACATACTTAGTATAATTTTATTAAAATTTATTATTGTGTATTTTATGCTATTACAAATGAAATAAGGTATACATTTCAAAGTTCTGAGACGCAGAGAGAAATGCGCCGCGATGCTCCGAGGTCGGTTTCAATAGCATTGTAATTTATACTTTATTATTGTTGAAATAGCATTCTATATACATTTATAAATTTAATGTCCTTTCTGGGCAGAGGGTTAAAACCCATTTCTGCCTAAAATCTGAAAAATAGCTGAAACAGCCGAATTTGGTATAATTCCATACTTACTACAAATATTCGACGTAAAAAAACTTTTTTAGAGGAAAAAGAGGCAACTTCACACAATACCCACCTCGCAATACTGTGGATTCTCACTACTAAGACAGCATATTAGGCTCAACCCACACAGGCACAGCGCCGAAGCGTCGCGTCGACTCTCGATTCCATATTTTCAAAACACAAAATTGTACTTTAATAATAATAATAATAATAATAATAATAAAACCAAACCAAAATCTATTGGGATCGATCTATTATCACGGACAGGACTATTCTTGCGAATAAGCCTGATATTGTGATATTGGATCGATCGCAGTCGAGGGTATTTCTTGTGGACGTCACCATCCCGCATGACGAGGGTCTCGTGAAAGCTGAAACCGAGAAACGCCGGAAGTATCTCGACCTGGCGCACGAGATCACCGACATGTGGGATGTGGCCTCCACTGAAATAATCCCAATTGTTTTGTCCGCAAATGGGTTAATTCCAGTCAGCCTTTCTAACAGCTTGAGGCGGTTGGATTTCTGTGGCGTGTCGCTTCCAGCACAAATGCAGAAGGCGGTCCTGCTCGATACGGCACGTATTGTTCGCCGATTCTTGGACCTGAGTCCCTGACCCCGGCCGACTGTGCCATTGCCGGGAAATACCGCCTCTCCCATTTAAAAATTCAAAATTAATTTTTTAGGCCTTGGGAGAGGCGAGAGTTTAAAATAAATACGAAAATAATAATAATAATAATAATAATGATAATAATAATAACGCACACACTCAACATAGCCCCGCACTAGGGAAACCCTGTGTCGCGGGTGCCATGGACACACACATAGACAACCACAAATTACACCCAAACTCACGAGAGAAATAAATGTAGGCCATACACATATTTCTCCCGGCCTGGGAATCGAACCCAGGACCTCTGCATGGCAGTCCGACATGGTAATCGTTCGGCCACGGAGCCAGTCATTGTCAAATAATGGGAAAATAGAGATGAATATGCTATAGGCTAAAAATATTACGCGTCGCGACGCTTCGACTCTGCGCCAATATCAGTTGAGGCTGACAGATGCATATGAAGAGAGATTCAAGTATATACGATTTAACGATTTTTTGTATAGATTTATTCCGGAATGCCGCCTTTCTCTATGCTGACACAACTTTCGAACCTTAGTAATAATATCATTAAATTCGAACAAAACTCGATTAGTTTTAATAGTTTTTGCTCTCGATTTCGGGCGTTAATGGATTTAAACCCGCCGTTATCAACGACGCAGGTTAAAACCCGGGCGCTTGTCCATCTCTACTTCTGCATTGCTGTCCGCCGGTTTGCGTTGGCCCTTACAAACGTCAGAAAAAATGTGTGTTAATATGTACGTTTTATTTATTACAGGCGATTGGCGGTATTGGCCCTAAGCTGGTCACAACACTCATAGTATGGGGCGCTTATCCCACGTGGGGCAGGCTGATCTTCCCCGAAGAACCTTTAGTCGAAGAAACACCAATGACTGACAAAAGTGTTGCTCTTAATTGTAGTACGACACTCCATAGCATTCTGGCAAATAAGTCTGTAACAAGACTAGATTGCAGTCTACCCAAAGGACTTAAAGATGTAAATATGACAGATATAAATCTTGCCAGACAAGGTAAGTTCGTATGCGATTTCTTCCCGAAAGTGGAAAGGAAATAGATACATAGATACTCTTCTATTTGAACGCCAAAAAACGAGTTTTTATTTATTTTTATTAATTACGTTGTGTATTTCTGAGTCTCAGGATATTACGGGCTTTGAAATAATTGGAATATTTTTGAAATTTCCTAACGCCATTTTGAATTTTGACGGTCTGGAATGTTTGCTTCTACAGTGTTGCCAGCGAAGAATTTTCTGCGACTATAGCATTTTACCGTTTTTATACCTTTGACGCATTTATATGTTTTTTTTTGCAATGAAATATATATTTTTGAAATACAAATTAAATATTAAAATAGACGTGATGCGGAAAAAGCGGGTGCGGACTTTTATACTCTTTAAGTTTGTAGGAAGCAGAAAACGTATAAATTAATATATTTTTTCATAGAACACATATTTGATTGAAATCCCAGAAGGACTGGGACGTTCCTAGATTACTTAGGTTTAGTTTTTGTCGATCTGATTGGTCACTAGAATGCGATTAGAGAATCAATAAAGGAAATTGCTTAATTTAGAGAAAAAGTAAAAGTTAATAACTATATTGTTTAGGCTGTCTTTTTCTATGTGGTCTATAAATGTCCTATTGTTACATATCACGTGATTTTAAAGCCATTTGATTGGTTTGTTTGTTTTTCGTACGGAATAAATCGAATTAACGCCTAAATGTCCTGCTGTTACATATCACGTGATATTAAAGCCATGTGATTGGTCCGTTTGTTTCTCGTAAGGGAATCATAAAACGAATTAATACTGAGAAATGCCAAGTCAAAATGAACAATTATTGGTTAAAAGTGTAGCCACGTTCAACAAGATCATTGTTAAAATTCTAAACGCATATTGTGATACTAATATTTTGTTATTGTGTAGTAAAAGGAAAATAATAATAGAAAAATTATGTAATTTTCATAAGTGCCTTATGCCGTGATGTTTTTAAGTTGAAAGTTGTTTATCAGTAATAATATTTTTTTAAATTAATTCTTACAACGAATTTAAACTTTATCCGTTGTATAAAGAAATGAAATTCTGAGTGTTTTACAGTGCTGCCAACTAATCTTTGGTTTGGTAGAAAACGGAAGTAGCACTACCACATTGAGAATTAACTACCAGTTATTATGATGATGGCAACACTGCATAGGCGTGAGGGCGCGTTCCGTTAAGTTTATCGTCAACGTGTAGACAACTTTGAACAAGTTTATTTAAATATAGAATCCACGACACTATACACTGCACGACTATCTGTCGTCACGACATAAAAGGAACGCGCCCTTAGAGACACAATTTTGTGCTAAAGATAAGGCGCTTAGTGACAATTTTTTTTTAAGAATTATTCATAGTATAAACCAATAAATAGTGCTAACATCAACATGATTGTTACTGATAAATAATTCTTATTGCATTTTGATATTTGAACTCAGTGCAAAAATTAGTAATAAGGTTTTGTACTATGCCAAATGTTTAAAGATTTTTTTTAACTACAAACACTTCGACCAGAGCTTCATTTTCTGGAAAATGTGGTCGTTCTAACTCCAAATGAGAATTTTATCTGTTGAGATAGCTTCGAATGATAGACGATAAATTATTTATTATATATTTACTGTATTTAAAAAGTGTATAAAAACCTTTTGTATGCAATACTCTGTCATTATCATGAAGATTTTGTAGTTTCCTTAAAATCCGCAAGATGGTGTTGAGCAATATGGCACACACTGAATTTAATATTAAAGTTTTACCGTGCTGAAAAATTCAAAGGAAATAATATATATAGAGTCGATAATTCCTCCATCTAAATTCCCGGAATGATTGTATCATATTTAGGGCCGGCAGACTACACAAATCAAAATTACTTGTTTCAACATTTGCACCTTCCCATGTTATAAACACAGAATAATAAAACTCAGTTTGTTTATTTTTTTATGATGCGAAGTGACAAGACGAACATGTCGTGCGCCTGATGGCAAGCGACACTGCTGTCTATAGCAGTTGCGGAGCTGAGGAGCTCTGCCTCTGCACTTGTCACTCTGAGATATAAGTGGACAAGTCCCAAGTGCCTGTAATTTCACCAGCACCCTTACCCGTCAAAACCGGAACTCTTTCACAAGGAGCTCTAATTATGCTTAAGTCTGCCGACTCTAGATAACATATTATTCTTTTTCTTATCGTATCTTGGCATACTCTCGAATGCTTGGCATCGTGGTGAGAGAATTTGCCAATTGGCGTAAGAAACTCGCCGATTGTTGTACGTTGTGTTCTACATTATCAAAACTAAAATTACTACGATGTATTCAAAGAAAAAATAATTGTAAATAGAAATATGACTGCATTTTGATTGTCTTCAATCATTCTGAGATTTCCAAGGGAGGTATTAACCACTCTATATTGGTTGAAGTTTTCTTGAATATTCTCGTTTATTTAGATTTTTTATTGTAACAGACATATCGTCGCATTACTTTCTCAAACTAGTATCTTAAAGCACAATGTTACTGAAATGCAAAAATGGGTTGTATTTATAAAATTCTAAGGCTGATTTTACATCACATTTCCTTCATATTCACACACTAGCTTTTACCTATTCTTAAAGTAACGCATCCAAATTAACACCCTTGATAAGAAATTAAAAATAAATAGAAAGATTTCTCATATTCTGAATAATCACTCATAAGATATGACTTTGAGAAAGTAGGGCATTGATATATCACCTACTGTTGCGATGGAAGTCTTTTTAAAAGCGTTTTAGCCTAACAATAATAAAACTGATTACTTTTGTTTCTATTCTATTAACTAAGGTCAAATCAACAGATCTATCATAGAAAAACAAACCGCCAATAAAATGTATGGAATTGTATAGAATAGATGTAATATTTGTATTGTAGAATTTTTAATCTATTTTTGTTTTAGACTATGGTTACGTTTTTATGCATGTTTTTATTTTAATGCAACATACTCGTACATGTATACAGGCACATTTAGCGGAAGAAAAAAAATGTGATGTCTTTTAACATCGATTTCGTGCACAACCTAATTTAAAAAACCTTTATTGAAGAACAAATTGATATTAAACGCAATGCAATTTTTTTTAAATTTTGTGACAAAGCAGAAAGGGTTGAAAATTAAAAAATTGTAACAGTTTAACATCGATTAAACTCAAAGTTAAATAAATCAAAATGTTTAATACTTTTGTGGTTATTCACTAAATGATTGTCAACAATTAAGGACATCGACAGCGAAAGAGGGTACACAGATATTACGTCTGTTCTTAAAGCTGTCATCTACCGGTCGCCAGTCAATCCGTGACCATGGACCGTGTAACCGTTTCGAAATATGTGGAACATAAAAATAACTCATGCCGTGGTAAGAAAGCTGCGTTCAATAACAGTTTACGAAATTAACAAAAACGCAAAATTAACCTCGAACTATGTGACAAATATGCATTAGTAGGAAATTTAAAAAAATGACCTAAAGTAAAAAAAGTAAAAACCTAGCCAGACTTGAAAAATACTGCATTAATTTGGGGTTATTACTAGCGTTCCGCTAATTGTGCTGGTATGTGTATTTTTAAACAATTATGCAAAACGGATGTTTGTTTAGTTTTTTATAAATGTGGAGCAGTGTCGAAGGGTAATAAGATATTTCAGAAAGGTAAGCCTGAGTAGAAGGCACGCTGCAACTGCAACGCAAAACTTTTTCCTTTCAACGCCTGCTACTAAGTTGGAGAAAAAGTATCTAAAGCTAGCGGATAAGAATTGTGCTATATAGACCCTTTACTTGTACAGAATTAACTGAATTATAGGTTAAAATAATATTTTAGTTTTTGAGGCTAGAAATAAAATATCAACCATTTGATATGGTGAAGTTATTTTATACCATATAAATTAATTATCAAATTTTGAGTTGTTAGGTTTCGGAGATTGTTACACATAGGAAATGAAACTGTTCTTTCGTCATCTAAATCGCGTATATTTTTTTTTTGCAATTTTTTGGTATTCTGCCCTTTAATGGCAAATCGATGGTACGTCGACGGGGCGTAGTATACTAATTATTTGATGTTTCTTTTGATGACGTCACGATGGCTTCTTTCGATTAATTTACTATTGAACAAACATTTGTATTCTATTGCTGATAACATGTTGTGTTGGGTCATTTCCGACCGATTTTCATGATTCTTTTTTGTTGGAAAGAGGGTATCTTTATAATGGTACTATTTAATTTTGAAGAAAATCATCTTTCTCTAAGGGTCTGTTCACGCATGAAGATTCATTTTTATAAATAGCGCCTAAATCTTTATATTATAAGCATGGTTGGTTTTGCTATTCTCTAATTCATGGCGTTTTTCTCTCTCAATATTTTTGAGACTATTTCCTTTGAGAAGTGAGGACCGATTTTTATTATATATTATTGGCGAACTAGGGGATGAATCCGGGTTTGCCCACTACCCGGTAACCGATTTCAATAAAACATGGTAATTATATGTAATTCCACGTACTTTTGAGGTCGGTTCTTTTTCCTTTTATTTTCCACGATTGATGTTGACACGTTGTCTATAGTTGAAATTACTGAACGAAAACAATGGAGCCATTAAAATGTTTTTGTTTTTTCGCTATTTTGAAATAATTTTAAATCTCGTTTTTCTCTAAGTGGCTTTTAACTACACAAGTTTAATTTTATAATTCACGCTAAATAAAACTTCAAAAGATATTTCCAAATGTGAACTTTCGAAATTACATTTTAACAATTTTTCAAATTTTTCAAATTTTTCGGGAATATTTCCGGAAACATAACCAGTGCTTGAAACTTTACGGAAAATTAGCCAATACTAATTAAACGAGTCAAAAATGCGTCATAATTTCCATGGTAATTTTAGTAAGGCAACATCGATTGTTAGTGATTGGATAAATTAATGCCTTCACTGCTATTCCACAGACACTGTACTGCGAAACAAATGCCATCGCAACTACATTTTAGTAGGTCAGTAGGTTAGTAGTTTAGCAGAATAATATTATAATATTAAAATAATTGCAATACAATTTCAATGAAGTTCAGTAACGAGTGCTTTCAAAAAAATTAGCACCTTACAGGTTGCCATGATCACGCCTGACCGATATGATTTACATCCGAAAAAAATTTTCATTTCCTATACCAAATTTTGGCTTATTTATATCTTGTTATTCGTGTGGAATTCTATTTTAAATTATTGTTTTTTAAGTGTAGCTGTACAGCTTTATGGCATTAAGTCACGCCGTTTGTATTATGTGTATTATGCATAAAAGTTTAAATAAATAAATTATAACTAAATTTAAGGACCACTTTGGCCCGTCGTTATACAAATACATATTGTATATATGATTATGTATATAGGTTGTGATTATATTTTATTTCTCGCCTCAGTTAAGATTATGCTCATTTTGTACATAGAGAACGGATTGTATTGTTAGTTGTTGTTTAAATAAATATGTTGAATAATTAAAATTCGTTTTTCTAATGCCTTAAACAACATGATGATTGTAAAATGTTAGCGTACAATGCATAAATGTCCTTACTGTTTAGTAAATAGACAATTAAAGTCAAGTGCATCTGTTTGGTTTGTTATAAAAGTAAGAAAAGGACAGACGATAACGTACTGTTTCACTTGTTTTAAAAGTATCTAAGGTTCTATTTACATACTGCGGAAGGGAATGGCAGTGACATTTTGTAATCACTGTATACTTTGTCAATTGTGCAACGTACATACAAACTAGGTACGAGCTAAAAAACGTGACTTGTAAAGGTTGTCACTGACCAGGGCCCAAGGTCTGCTAATTTTAAATCACTTCAATTGTGTGTCGATATTGTCAAAGGTAAATAAAACTCAACCAGTTTTCATGATGTTATGTTTACAATAATAAGATCTTTGGCAGCCCAGGCCGGGTACAGCATGATGTCAGGCCAAATGGTCGTCGCCCATAACGTTACTGTGCTCCATATTATTATTATGGAGAATAATGATGGACCGATGCCGGCTTGCACCTGAAAAGTTAAGGCATGTTAAGATGTAGTTACAAAGGCTACCTATTCCTACCGCCAAGTACGGAACGCAGTAATGCGAGCATTACTGCTTTCCAGATTTGAAGGGTAGGCTGCTGGTGAAATTATAGGCACATGAGACTTTTCAACTTATGTCTCAGGGTGACGGGCGCAGTGGCATTGCCCTTTGAGCGGTACTGCATCTGTTACGGACAGGCGTGACGCTTACCACCAGGCGCACGACTTGTTCGTACCGTCACTTGGTATCATAAAAAAAGCTCTTTGTGAAAGAATTCGTCCAGGGAAGTGCTGCCAGCTTTTGTCACCCGTTAGATAAGGGTTCACGGGTTGATTGGCGTGCTAACTATTTCCGGCATGCCACTAATGGTGGTGGGGGAATGAGGTGCAGGCAGGTAGAGCGTGGATTGTAAACGACGTGGCCATAGCCCCGTCCTATGCGGGGTGTGGGAATACCCGGAGATTTTTAGTGAGTAAGAGTGTCACATAACCACCGCGCCTCCCCGTCACGCAGTAGTATGCATGACGGATTTTCTCCCTGAAAAAAGGGAAGCACTGCCACCTTAGGCACTAATGTAAGCATTACTGCGTTCAGATTTTGAAGGGTAAGAGTGCTAGTGACATTACAGGCACACGGGACTTGTCAACTTCTGTCTCAGGGTGACGGCAGATCTAGAGCTAAGTGGCAGATCTTTGTGATTAAAAGCTAAACGGGCGTGCAGCTTACCACCGGCGCACGACTTGTTTGTTCCGTCTAGGTTATAACAAAAAAATCTACGCTTTCATCACATGTGCGCTTCCATCCCATTTTGGCAATGTAAATAGAACCTAAATTTCCTTGTTTTACACCACTACATTGGCCCAATGTGGCTTCGGGATGGAGTAAGTAATATAACAACGTTACTCACCATTTTATAATGCGGCATGTTGACGTAGGATGGATTAAGTAATATAACAACATTACTTACCATTTTATAATGCGGCATGTTG